CCCCCCCCGTCTCCTGGTCCATCCAGGGCTGATAGTTTGAGTTCTCGTTAATGAAAGCAACCTTTTCCAGGGGTGCACACGCTGGGTCTACAGTATCAAAGGCGAACCACTCACAAGGCAACGAAAATCCCTGACCTGCGGAAGGCCAGAGGCCACATTTGTTTCAAAGAGCGAGTGATGGGTTCAATTAAGCAATTAAGGGCTCAGTGCGAACCCGTTCCAGAAGGTCAGAGTCTGTGCACCCCTAATTTAGCCCCTGCATTTAATCTTATATAACCTTTTTATGTCGATTTTGTATCGTACTCCCTGTCTATATTGTATACTAGTAAAGACAATAAATAATGCATAATAAATTCTTCTTTTATATAAATGAGCGAAATAGCACCTTGTGTCTGGTCACCTCCCCTGCCCACAAAGACAGGGTCTCTCTTGTCGGCTCACTGCACAGGCCTGTCTTGGTGCACAGACAAGCAGACCTGCAGGTTCACCCCGTGATCAGTGCTGTGCAGACATTGCAAACTCCGCCCTTTCAGGCGTCTCAGAGAGTGGTCTTATGGGGTATCTCCTACAGCACCCAGGGACTTTCTTAACGTATCAGGTTTACAAAATGAAAGCCAGGCACCACCACAGCATCTAAGAGGACTGTGTCCTCCCCTCCTTCAGGGAATGAGCTCTGCTCTCGGCTCTCTTAGTGCCCACGGGCATACTGTGCGGGAATGGGTCTATTCAAATACAGCCACCTGCATACCTGACACCCAGCCACTCTGAAATCCCAAAGTCTCAGTTAAGTCCACTGCAGTTTCTACCACTGACTCACATATAAGAGTTCTCCTCTTTCCCATGTCTCTGCCCTGCTGCTCCCGAGCTCTTGTGGGCACGCCTGGTGGCACTGCCTCACCTCCTCCACGCCAGATCTGTGGTTTGAAAATGAAAACGGCCGCTTCAAAATGCGTGCAACGCAGGCATGTTTAAAGGTTGCTATTTTAAAAGCAGGCATTCGTATAAGCATTGACGTGGGTGCTTGGGAAGCATAGCTTTTCCATCAGAGTATAGCAGTGCACACTGCTCCTAAGCTCCGACGTGCTTTTTAATATGTCTGGGAAGTGTCGCTCTCAAAGTCTGCTCTCTCTGGGTCCGATTGATTCAGTCTGTTTCCCTGACAACAGCGGAATGCTGTTCCCAGTAGCCTCCCTATCTCCCTGACGACGGCGCCAGCTTCCCCTCCTTGGAGCTGCAGGGCTCTGGTGCAATAGGGACACCTCCCTTAAAACCCCCCAATGAACCCCTTGACATTAGCATTTTCAGCGGCATGCCCTTTAGGAGGGTTTGAAGCAGCTCCCTTCCAGGTTAGGGTGAGGGGTTAAGATCAGCACCTACAGTGAGTTCAAAGATAAAGCAAAATTCGGCAACAAGTTTACCCCCGTTAGGTCTCATCGGCACGACGTAGCAAACTGTGACCAGTGCTTGCAGCTCGCAATGAACTCCCTTCTTCGCGGGTTTGTAAATCCCCAGCCGGGATGCTCAGAACAGCATCCCTTGTTTTTAAATTCATGACTGAACACAGAGAGGTCTCTGAAGCTCTTCCACATCCTGTCGTAGCTACTGTACTGCACCATGAGCCTGCTGAGCAAAGAGAGTGACATTCCCCAAAAAAGCTGGAAGTCGGGAAGTGATGGGAACTTGAGCCCTATGTCCCTTCACCCTTGGTGGTCTCGTGGAATGAAGTCTCCCATTGTTAATTGGGAAGGGCGTCTTTAATTCCCTTGAGTGGGGGGGTGAATCTGGTGCTGATCAAAGTTTTGGGGAGACACACATCGTGCCAGCTGTCCCCCAGCGCCGCTGCAGGCGTGTCACTGTGACGTGTGCTTCTGTTTTCCAGCGGGAGAGACCGGGGGGCCGGCGAAGCCCCCCGTCAGGAGCAAAAGCCCCTCCCAGATCCAACAGGATGCTCCCCGCCCCTCTCCCTCCCCCGCCGACACCTCCCGCTTCCAGAATGAGGCGCTGGAGGCCCACAACGCCCGGCGGCGGCTGCACGCGGCCCCCCCGCTGCGGCTGGACCCCGCCCTGTGCCGGCAGGCGCAGGAGTGGGCCGATCGCCTGCTCTCTCTGCGGGTGCTGCAGCACAGCGACACCGGCCTGGGGGAGAACATCTGGCACAAGTGGAGCTCCAACAGGGCCGAGGCCTCCGGTGAGACGCCCCGGATCCGGCGCTGGGCCCGCTGCCCTACCGCTGGGACAGGCGTGGGGGAGCATGGGAAATCACTGCTCGGTGGGGGGGGGAGGATGATGGGAAAACCGTAGAAAGGGCGAAATCTCCAGCGCGCGTTCGCCGTGCCGATCGCTGGTAAGGGAGTGAGGAGGGGGGTGCCTGGAGGTGACGGGGCGCTCCCAGCTCTGATCGGGGTGTCCTGTGCTGTGCCTGCAGGAGAGGAAGCCGTGGAGTCCTGGTACGGCGAGATCAAGGACTACGACTTCAGCAGGCCGGGCTTCTCCACCAACACAGGTCGGCCTTAGCTCCCGATGCCTCGATCTGCCGGCCACTGCGTCCCGCACACATCACTGAATTGTGACCTGCGGTTACCTATCCCATCACCCCTCCTGCCCCCCCCCCCGCAGGCCACTTCACCCAGGTGGTGTGGAGAGACTCTCAGGAGCTGGGCATCGCCAAGGCGACGGACGGGAAAGGGATGGCGTTTGTGGTGGCGCGGTACCAGCCGGCCGGGAACATCACCAACGCGGGCTACTTCGAGAAGAACGTGCTGCCACCAGGGGCGAAGCCTCCGGAGGGCGCCAGCAGGGGCGCAGGACTGAAGCCCCAACTTCAGAGCCGCCCAGGGGAGAGAAATGGGCAGCAGGCGGATGGCAGCGCCCCTGGTAAGGGCATCTTTACTTGAGGATGGACAGCATAGTAGAGCAGAGTCCTGCTGGGTCAAACTACTTCAGAATCTTTTACGTTTCTTCCTTCCTGTTAACGTATCGGTGAAAAAACACGAATGTCTCCCGTTTAACGTAGTGAAGTCCCGTTCACACCAAAGGCGAGCGGAAGCATTTGGCCTGAAGAAAACATGTTTTTGTTTTGTTCTTTTGCTTTTCGTGGCTCTATGATAAAACCTAGCAGTTCTATCTGGAGATTGGCATGTGTTCGGTGAACATTAGCAAATGGCTCAAGCTACTTACAGCGGGACAGGGGGGAGACCCGACTGTGCACGGGTGAAAGAGAGGCACCACGATCTTG